TGAACCCAGGAGGCGGAGGTTGCAGTGAGCCGAGATCGTGCCATTGCACTCCAGCCTGGGTAACGAGCGAAACTCTTGTCTCAAAAAAAAAAAAAAAAAAATGCTTAACGATCTCCTTCGTTTAACATTTCATAATGCATTGAACACTATCTTCTGCAATCAATACCGTTATAACATGTGACCTAAGTAGCAATTAACTTCAGCTTTCACAAATGAGCCAGTTAGGACAACAAGCAATGAGATTTCTAAGGAGTTATTGGTTGGAATTATATTAATTTGCTGGTTTTTTTAACATTTGAAACTTGGCCAATTTTAAGTTTTTCTTTTTCTTAGTTGTCATTCTCTAAAATGTTGACTTAAAAAACATAGCTTCAACCATCAAATCAATGGAATATTTCAGTATGGTATTTTCCTGGCCTGATTTCAACGTTTTCTCTTTATTTCTGTCCCATCCTGCATTATCTTTTCTTTCCCTAAACCCTTTTTTAAAGCCAGGTTTTATGTTTATTTGTTCATCAGTTTTTAAAAATCACAGAATGCAAAAGCAAGAGAACTCGGAAAGCAGTTAGTGCCTCCGATTTTACTGATGAGGTCATTTGAAGCCACAATCATACTAAAATGCCACATCATTCCACGTGAAGATTTACGTAGATTAGGGACTTGTTTATATAAAGCTAATACGTTTGGAGGACGATTTCTCTAAATGTTCTATTAAAGTTCTGAGATGGAGGGCATCACTTTTTATTTCAAATACCCAAGGGTTCCTTTTCTCTGCAGGATATCTGGTAGATATAACATGTGCATAACAAGCTGAATGGCTCCCACATTTGCCCCACCCTTTATTTTACTGCAATTTCACTATTAACCTGAAAGCTCAAGATTTAACACTTTTTCCCCTATAAATATAGTTCCTGGGGCCAGATTTTTAAAAAGGAAGAAGAGAAGACATAAGGTTTCCACTTAGGAAATACACTTCCTTTCCTTCCATTCCCTACTTCATCCTCTGAAAAAAAACACTCAAACACAGTACTTTTTAATGTATATCAAGGTGAGAATTAGACTAACTCAGAACTAAGCTTTGAGGTTTTCAGTAGGGTAGCATAATGCGGCTTTTGACAGTGGAATAAGCAAAAAAAACTTTGATTCCTACACACTGGTTTCTACAAAGTAAACAAAAAAAAATGTCCATTAGGTCAGGATACGAGGTGGTATTTCCGGAAAAAGGTTTTTGTCTTTGCTCACCAGTTAATGTGTGAAGGTGACCCTACAGAAAGCAGACATGATCCAGCCAGACATGGTGGCTCACGCCTGTAATCCCAGCACTTTGGGAGGCTGAGGCAGGCAGATCACCTGAGGTCAGCAGTTCGACACCAGCCTGGTGAACATGGGGAAACCCCATCTCTACAAAAAATACAAAAATGAGCCAGGTGTGGTGGCACATGCCTGTAATCACAGCTAGTTGGGAGGCTGAGGCAGGAAAATCGCTTGAACCTGGGTGGCAGAAGTTGCAGTGAGCCAAGATTGCACCACCGCACTCCAGCCTGGGCAACAGAGTGAACCTCCGTCTCAAAAAAAAAAGAAGGAGGAGGAAATTAGACATGATTGGAAGAATACCCAGCTGCTCTCTGGGTTAGTTTCCTATTTCTGCTAACAAACAATAGCAATAATAATAGCAACCATTTACTGAGCACTTACTATGTGCCAGATACTAAAATAATTTTCACACATAACTTCACTGTTCTTACCAACCTGAGACGTAGGTGTTATTGTTCCCATTTTATGGACGGGAGCAGAGACATTAAGGAGCTGCCCTAATTCACATGGCTGGAAAGTAGTGGATTGCAGATTCAGCACAGTTGGATCTGACTCCAACTGATAAGACCAAACAATTCAGGGCACAGGCACCTCCTGCCTTGGCAGGGACTCTTGAAGAGCCACAAACAGATTAGCCTCAAATCCACCACAGATCTGAGAGCCTGCTGCTCCCGTGCTCCGCATCTGGCTTTAAAAGCAACGGGCTCCTAATTCTTCCTCCACAGCAGAAACCAAATCCTCACACCACTAAATGTAACTGCTGAGAAGATAAAGTTATAAAATGGACATAATTTTTTTAAGCTTTCACAAAAATAATTACAGATTTTCAGGGTCAGGAAGAACTGATTTTAATTAGCAGTGTTCACAGTTCCCACACCAGGACTAGCTGGGGACACTGTGTCCAGTTCCCAGGTCTCCGAACCCCAGGGGTGCCTCATCTTCTTTGGTCGAATGAGGTGTTTGCTCAGCCCCATTCAGTGACCCTGAGGATCCTGCACCCGCCTAGCACCTAGCGCTGGCTTCTTTGGGGGAGTGACAGAAAGCAATCCAGAGTAACACAAAGGGAGCCTTCACTCTCCCGTGCTCCTCCCACCATTGCCAACAGGGGAAACAAGGCACTTGGGGCTCCGTGGTGAGAAGACTTAGAGGAGATCAGCAGGTGCTGCACTTGAGACAATGAGCTTTACATTTCCAGAGCTGGCTCGGTCCAGTCAAAACAACGTCCAACCCAAAGGCAGTGATGGCCCACTGAGAAACAAATCCCAACGGGAGCAAAGCAGACAATATCGGAAACGCAAGGCCATAAAAGGGCAATGAGGGGGCTCCTGGTCCCATCCAAATGGTGAGTGCCCAGAAACGGGCAGCCTCCTTGGGTAGGGTCAGATCGCTCAATATCCAGTTTCACTCCAGACAGGCGAACAGGGACTGAGGGACCCGCCCGCCCCCCAGCCCCACCTCACTTTCTTCCTCTGTGCTTCTGCCTGTCTACGTCAACTCACTGTTAGAAGATAAAAAACAAATTTAGCTGGGAAGTGTCAAACCACAGGTTGCTTTTTTCTTTAATATCCCTGATCATTCAACTGAACGATTCTGTTGTTTTTAGGATTTTTTTTTAACTATGTATACTTTGCTTTTATCTCTCTGTTATCCAGAGTTTGTTTTCATGTGTTCTCATTTGTGGATACCTGTGACACTCCTATGGAAGGCCAGAATATCTAAAGATGAGCACCCCACACAACAGATCCACCTTTTGGCTCTGCCATCCTTAGAGCCCGAGAGCCTTCCGGGGCTTCCGTGAGGAAGCGAGCAAAGTAACAAACCGCGTGTGTCTAGGAGGAGAAGGGTTTCCCCTGGATTCCGCAAACCCAGCTTACTTGGGAGCTTTGGCTTTCCTCTTGGAAAGGGAATCGGACACAGATCTGACCTCCATAAAGCACTACAAGAGGGGCCCCTGTGAGTTAGATAAAGAAGCGGATGCTGATTGTGTGTTCCATGTGGCACTGGCACACAAATTCTTTGTGACTGGAACCAAAATTTCCATATCTAGATTTTTCTCTGGAAATTACAGTGGTCTTTTCACTCCTGTTAACACACATATGTACACACACACACATACACACACACACAACTTCTGGCTTCACAAGCCCCTGCAAACCTCTATCCCTTTGCAATCCTGGAAAATGGTGCCCCACCTCTCACGTCCCCTCACTTTCCTGGTGTCACTGTGACTGTGAAATCTCCAGATGGGAGGCACCCATCACTAAATGGTATCAACCCACACAGATCCCCAACCCCTTACCCTTACCCCTCAAATACATGATCTGATATGCCAATCTGGGGGTATGGATTTCTTTCGTTAGAAGAATGTGATTTATAGCTAATCCATATCCAGACTAATTTCTCCTCACTGATATGTACACTTTGCAACAAGAGTTGTTATTCTTAAAATTCATATTGTCTACTAGGATTTAGAACGTGCTAATGAAACTAGCATCTGAGAAAAAAATGGAGAGAAATGAAATCACTGAAGAGAAGAGAGCTAGAAGGACTCTCCATAGTTGTTAAATGAAGCCCTCTATGTGCAGGTATAATCAGCAAAACCAAAAGAGCACATGCCACTTCCTGTATCTGGACTGTCCCTCCCCTCAATTCATGACCTGTCCGCCTCCTCTTCAAGTCTTAAGGCACATTGCTGAGTTCTTCTGCTCTGGAAACTCATCCAGTCCGGGTTCGCTGCCTTCCCATGTATATGCACAGCCTATCCTACATGAGCGCATACCACACTCTATTGAGGTGTCCAAGTGCACTCAAAGCAAAGACGGCCTATGTTCCTCAGTGTCCCCAGCACCTATCCTGGTGCCTGGCCCACATGCTCAGGAAGGCTTGCTGAGTAAAGGATGGAGCCATCACCTTTTTGTCTAACCACCCTCAACCCCCGACTTTTTTCTTGCCATCCTCTTCACTATTCTTTCTTTCTTTTTTTTTTCCAAGATGGAGTTTTGCTCTGTCTACCAGGCTGAAGTGCAGTGGCGCCATTGCAGCTCACCACAGCCTCCGCCTCCCAGGTTCAAACGATTCTCCTGCCTCAGTGCCCCCCCTCCCCACCGAGTAGCTGGGATTATAGGCATGCACCACCATACCTGGTTAATTTTTCTATTTTTAGTAGAGAAGGAGTTTCACCGTGTTGGCCAGGCTGGTCTCAAACTCCCAACCTCAAGTGATCTGCCCACCTCTGCCTCCTTCTTTATCTGTTAACTAGGTTATCAGTCTTGCCTGCATATAAGCATCACCTGGGAAGCTTTCAAAAAGTATCTTTGCCTGAGCTGACCCCCAGAAAATTCTGATTCAACTGATCTGCTGTGGGACCTGGGCGTAGGCATTCTAAAAGGGATTCCACTGTGAAGAATGAGAAGGCTTCCATCTTCCAGGTCTTTCCCTTCGCTTTTTCATACCTTCAAGATCCTCTTTCTCTTTTTAAATTTATCTTCATGTTCAGTGGCTCCCAGAGACACTACTTAGCCCTCTGCGCAAACTGCGCATGAACACAAAAAGATACAGACAGTGAAGCTCCACCCCCAACTGGCTTCCTTTCACATTTCCCTTGAACTTGAGAAGGCAGCAACCACAAGATCTGACATTGATCAGTCTCCCTCCTCGGTGGGGTACCACTAAGAAAGCTGTCTTACCCAGGAGAATGAGCAAGACGCCAGCCAGCTGGGCCCGCCTGTACTTGGCCACACCGGGCTCATGGCCCATCCGGATACAGGGAAGAACAGTCAGCAGCAGCAAAATGGCTGGCAGACCCAGGACCGAGGCAGCGATCATCAGTGCGCGGCAGGCCTGCACGTAGCCTGGGAACGAGAGAGCAGACAAGAGGGGTTAGACCACGGTTCTCTTGCTTCCTGGGCCCTGCCTTACAGGATTTCAGCACCATCTCCCTTCCTCCCTCTTGGCCCATTCCAGGACTTAGAAGGTGCTCAATGTTGACCAAGGTCACTAGGCACTTTTCAGCCTTTAAAATAACTCAGCAAGAAAAAAGGGGGCTGGAGAGACGAAATGGGGACCCCTAGTTTAGGCCACTTGGCCAAGCTTCCAGGATGGAGGGGCCAAGAGTCCATTTCACACCACCCTGTGAAAGTTCAGATGAAAACTCAAATCTCCCAAGAATCATTTTGTGAGGGCATCTGTTGGTTCCAGTCTGCTATTGACAGCTCTGCCTGTGTGACCTTGGGCCAGTTACCTAACCATGATGTCCTACTTTCTGCATCTATAAGGTAACAATAGGCCAGGCACAGTGGCTAACACTTGTAATCCCAGTACTTTGGGAGGCTGAGGCGGGCAGATAATCTGAGGTCAGGAGTTCAAGAGCAGCCTGACCAACATGGCAAAACCCCATCTCTACTAAAAATACAAAAATTAGCCTGGCATGGTGGTGTGCACCTATAGTACCAGCTACTTGGGGAGGCTGAGGCAGGAGAATCGCTTGAACTCAGGAGGCAGAGGTTGCAGTGAGCCAAGATCGAGCCACTATACTCCAGCCTGGGTGACAGAGTGAGACTCTTTCTCAAAATAAATCAATCAAGCAATAAATAATGAAGTATCAATAATAATATAATAGTACCTACATCTCTCTGATAAAATTCTACTGCAGATTAGGTTAGCAGTGCTAAAAACAGTGCCTACACCAAATCCTCAAAAAAGGTTACTTGCGATTATTGATGTTCTTTGTCTGTCACGGTGCAGTGCTTTCATCTCCACGTTCCTTAGGTGATTTTCTCCTAACCAGGTGCTTTCATTCACATTGGCTATGGCCCGAACCCAGACTAAACTGAGACTCAGGCTTCTCTTTGCTATCTCCCCAGAAGCTGCTGTCCTCCCTGCCCCTAAATGCTTGGGCTCCATCTCCTGCCTCACCCACAGTGCCCTGGGCATCTTCCTCAACTGTCCATAATTGCTTAAAAGGCATCTCTCCAGCCCTCAGGGTTCCTGGAGGGCAGACACCTGCCTTGGTATTCACGGAGTTAACACAGTGCCCACCACAGATCATGGAAACAATTGTGAATCATGGAATAAGAGAACTGAAAAATAGAAGAGTAGAGCAAAGCTACATGAACTTTATCCTGTCAAGTAAAATGCCAAGTAAAAACTTTATTAAGAAACAGATTATAATATGTGTCACATTTATTTAGACTAAATCTGACATGATACTGGGAGAATTTCACAGACAAATTTGTTTCCCTTTTAAATATAATGTTTCTCATTAAAACACTCTCCCTCCTCTTAAAAAAAAAAAAGAGGAGGGGTGGGGGAGCATTTATTACTCTCCCTTTTTTGCTTAGAAGGAATTAGAACTAGCGGCCTAGGTGAGACAGAGTTCGTAGCCTCACCCAGAAACTAGTCCGACTTCTGCCTCGCCCACCAGGACCCTCATGTGCACAAAGGCCTAACTTCAACGCTGTCTCTTAGCAAGGTACGTTTTGCCAGAATTCAGACTTCTCAAGGGCGCTCCTAGCACTGCCCATCTCAGCTCCTTCAGAATTAAAGATAATCAGTCAAGTATCTACCGACTTGAAGATCTCCAGAAAGGAGCTCCAGGAAATCTGAGGCCCATCCCCTGAGCCAGCACTATGCCCCAACACCCACACAAAGGAGGCAGTCAACTGACAACACAGGTTCTGAAATTCATGGAACTAGCTGTCCACATGCTACAGTGCCAAGGCCATGTCCGGACACCAAAAGATGGGGACTGAGGACTGTTCCTGCCTCCACCCAAAGTGTGAGGGAGGGGAACAGCAGAAAGGACAACCCCCACCAATATGCACTCCCCTCTGGAGGGCCTTTGTTCTCTGAAAACAAACCACTTGGCACTGAATGCTCAGTAAAGTTAATTTCAGAAGAAGGAAGCAAAGGTAATTTTATGCTTCAAAGATCCCTGCAAATACCATGCCCAGCTTTTAATAAAATAGCATAACTACCATTTATGAAGCATCTACTATCTCAAAGGAGATTACATTTCTTATTTCATTCATTCCTCAAATAATCGTGAAAGATGGGTGGTTTATCTGACTTTAGCTTTTCAAAGAAGACAACCGTGGTTCACTGAGGCTCGAAATTTGTACCGGGTCACCCCGATTGTGAGTCCTGGAACCCGGAGTCTGGCCAGGTCTGACAACACCAGCATTAGCCACAGCTGAGTCCAGATCTGGGTTCGCTGACCTCTGGCCCTCTGAAAGTTCAAAATGATGGAAAGCATAGCGTAAGGCAAGCCAGGCAAGCACTGCCCGCAGCTACCCTGTGCCAGAGCCCATGCCAGGTCCAGAAGAGGAAGTAAAGACAATAACAGGACGCCATCTCTATCTTCAAGGAATTTAAAACGTAGTGGGAGAACTTCACTCACGAACAATCAACAAAAAACAAGATAAAATGTGCCTTTGTGGGGATAAGAGCCAAGTACGCGGCACAAGAAGGAAGGAAGGATTCCGATTCCAACCACGAAGACTGGAAATAGGGGGTGCTTGGAGGAGGCTTAAGGGGCCAGCAGAGTCTTACTGAATGGCGGCTTCAGGAACAGGTTTCTCTGCATCTTAAGGAAACCGGGAAAATCCCTTAAGTGAGCACAATCCACGAAGGTTGGGGGACAGAAGGCCACCTTGTAGGGGCCGGGGCAAGGACATGCCTTCGAAGCAGGGCAGAGATTCCAGCAGAAAACCAAGGGGGTGCCAGCTACCTTACCCTTGCCCAAATGGCTCATAGTTTAAATCTAAATTGAGACTGTCGTCCAGAACGTTTCCAAAGGACACATGTGAAGATGGGGCCCCTGGCCCGGGCTGGGCTGTCAATTTTTACCTCCTTCCCACTCTGAGACACAGCAGGAGGAGTGGCGGCGAGCTACCCTCGGGGCGCACTCCTTGTCTCCGCAGAGGAGTCTGCCCCCCAGAAGCGCCCGGTCGCCCCTACCCAACCCAAGCTGCGCGGAGCGGGAGCCAGGTCACCGCAGCCCCGCGGTCGGACGCGCCCACGGCAGGGGCGGGAGTTTCCGGGGCAGCGAAGATGGCCCTGGGCACGTGCGGGAACCAACCTGGCATTTGCCAAACCAGGCAGCCCGGAGACCTCCTGGGACGTGAATCGCCTAGCTGCTGGGCGGACAGAGCTAGGAGGGCCCTCGCCAGGCCGGCGCGCCTCGCTAATCCCACGAGGACCGGAAAACGGCCTGAGATTGGATTCTCCGGCCAGCTTGTGTTACACGCTCCTTCTCACCTCTGTGGGCGGAATCTAACGCGAAGGCGCTGCGCCCTGGGGGAGGCCGGGCGGGAGCGGGAAGCCCTCCTCCGGGAAGAGGACGGTGGAGGGATGCGGGCTGCGGCCGCGGTAAAAATCAACGCGGACTCAGTTCTGTTATGTGTCCCAGTTTGTTAACTCTCAAGGGGAGAGGGCCAGCGTTACCACCGGCCGAATTGCCACTATTATCCCAAATTCCAGATAAGAATACTGAGGCCTAGAGAAGTTCGGGGCTGCCTAATTCTTCTACAACAAGGTGGGACTAGGGATGTCAAAAGCGTACCCACAGGTCTTCAAGCGCCCCAAATGTCCCTGTGACCGCCGTCTAATACCCCGCTCTCTACCCAGGGCATAAGGGTTTGGGGCCGCCGCCAAGGTCGGGTCCTTACCCGGCAGGATGAGGATGTCCACCAGGGGCTTGCAGTGGTACAGCCCGGTGGCCATGACGCAGTCGGCCCACAGCCCCTTGGAGCCCAGCTCATCCAGCTTGCGGCAGGTGGGGATGGTGTAGCCGCAGGTCACCACCCAGTCATTGGTGGAGGTGGTCACGATGACGCCGATCCAGCCCACGAAGCTCGTGACGAAGCCCACCACCTGCAGGCACGTGGCCACCATGGTTCGCGCCAGGATGTCGCCGCGCCTCGCCGCTCACGGCTGTGCCTGGGCCCGGGCTGGACGGAGCCTGCCCAGGTACGTTTCCCGCGCTCGCGAGCCGCTGGCGGGCGACGGCCCGAGGCGGGACACTGGAGGCTGCGGCGGGCGCGGGAGACTGCGAGTTCCGCGGCGAAGGGCGCACGGCGGGGACGGCAGCGCTGCTGAGCAGCGCGCCCCCGCCCCCTCTTTAAGCCCAGCGGCCCCGGCCTGAGAGCACCAATCGGCGGCAGTCCCGGGTCGGGCCGGCCAATCGCGGGGCGGGGCCGGGAGGGGAGCAGAATAACCTTTGGGGGGCCATTGGGTCGCCCCGCCCCGCCTCGAGCGCAGTCCCCGGACGGAAAGTAAAACAATTCCACCCAGGTCCAAAGAAATGGAGAGCTCAAGGCGGGCGCGCGTTTGGGGCGAGTTCTGCTTTGCTGCGGCTGGTTTCCCGTTGCCCCCTCTCATCTCAGTCTCCGGGTCCTCCTTCCGCTCCGTTCCTCCGCTCCTCCCGGCTCGCTCCTTCTTCCCTGCTGCGAGCACTCCCCAGGGCGCCCGGTACAGTCCCCCGACGACCCAGGACCGTGAGCGACTGAAGGGTGCCGTACGGACAGGCGCGAGGCATTCAGTACACACTGTTACCGGAAGAAAGAAAACGATGCTTTTCAGCGGCAACCGCAGCCATAACGACTGACAACAATAGAAACTCGCGTGTATCGAGCTGTGTTATATATTATGCAGATGCATTTTACACTCATTAGCTCATTTAGTTCTCATAACAGCCTTTGTGGTAGGAACAATTGTCCAATTACACATACTAGGCTCACCCCTGTAATCCCAGCACTTTGGGAGGTCGAGGTGGGTGGATCATTTGAGATCGGGAGTTCCAGACCAGCCTGGCCAACGTAGTGAAACCCCATGTCTACAGAAAATACAAAACTTAGCTAGGCGTGATGGTGCACGCCTGTAATCCCAGCTACTGGGGAGGCTGAGGCTGGAGAATAACGAACCTGGGAGGTGGAGATTGCAGTGAGTCAAGATCGGGCCACTGCACTCCAGCCTGGGCGACTGAGTGAAACGCCATCTCAAAAGCAAACAACAAAAATTACACGCACTAGCCATAGAGAAGCAGTACGAGAAGGTTAAATTGCCCAAGTTCACTCCGCTAAGAAGGAGTAGACACCATGAGCCCATCCCATCCCTCTCACGAACCATTTCTGGGAAACTGACCTGATTATTAGTCTGAAAATTCTTTTTTTTTTTTTTCTTTAAGTTCTGGGGTACATGTGCTGCTTGTGCAGGATTGTTACATAGATGTGTATACACACGCCACGGTGGTTTGCTGTATCCATTCCCCTGCCCCCTGCATTAGGTATTTCTCCTAATGTTATCCCTCCCCAATTGAAAATTCTTAAAGGGCTCATGTGTCCTATTTCGGACACATTAAAAGCTACAGCAGACTTATCTGGCTCATTGCAAATAAATTACTATCTGTACCCCACCGAGAAAACTGCCTAGCCCAAAATGAGCGCCCTGAACGTGTAAGCTGCCGTCATCACCATCAACATCGTTAAGCCACCATGCATGCAAACAGGCCCCGTTATCTGCAACTTTTTATCAGATGGGGAAGTCCTCCTTGAGCTGTACTTACATTAAACAGCTTTCACTCCCTTTGAAACATTTGGCTTACCTTATTTTCTTTTATCCATTCCCTTGGACCACTGCCTCCTCACCACTCTTGAGACTTAAAGGTGTGAGGATGTCAGCTCGGCATTCTAACATCTAAGATACGGACCATACATCACAGGTACTGAGCTTTCCCAAAGCCAGCCCTAATGCTGGTTATCAGTGCAGTCATCATCACCATGCCAGGAAAGCCTGGACTTGAGGAGACATTTCCCTGGTGACCTCAAGGAAATCAAGTGCACAAACAGAAATGCTCTTGTAATTGATAGCAGAGTGCCAAGTACAAGGGTCTCAGTAATCACCCAGGAAGCACAGTGACTAAGAATGCAGGCCAGCAGCCCAAGTTCAAATCTTGGCTCCATCACTTGCTGATTGTGGGACCAAGTTACTTCATCATTCTTGGCCTCCTTTTCTCATTTGTAAAGTGGGGATAAAAATCATACTTACCTCATAGGTTTTTTATTATTATTATTATTCTGTGAGTTATTAGGTTGGTGCAAAAGTATTAAACATAATGGCAAAAACTGTGATTGCTTTTGCACCAACCTAATAACATATATTATGATAATATATATGCAGAACTTAAAGTAACATTTTGTACAAAGTACGTATTCAGAAACCCCTAGCTAATACCATGCTTCAGAAGGCTTGCTTTTGGGTTTTGTTGTTGTTGTTGTTGTTGTTTTGGTTGTTTGTTTGATTTTGAGACAAGATCTCACTGTGTCACCCTAGCTAGTTCAGTGGTGTGATCACGGCTCACTGTAGCCTCAACCCCTGGACTCAAGTGATCCTCCCACCCCAGCCTCCTGACTATAGGCATGAGTCACCATAGCCAGCTAATTTTTTATTATTATTATTTGTAGAGACAAGGTCTCACTATGTTGCCCAGGCTGGTCTTGAACTCCTGGGCTCAAGAATTCCACCAGCCTCGACTTCCAAAGTGCTGGGATTACAGGCATGAGTCATCACACTTGGCCTGATTTTGCATTCTTATCTATCCTCCCTATATTCATTGCTTTCTGGAAACTATTTCATAGGAGTATGTTCCTTTTTTGAGTGATCCATTGTGTTTGGGGGATGGTTTACCACCAGGGTCTATTAACTGAATGTTTTCAGGTGTTTCCCTATGACACTTTTTTAAATGGCTTTTGTGCTGAGTACAACATAAAACATAAAACCCAAACAACATCAACTTATTGCAAAAGCAATCATGAACTCTTCACTCTTACACCTCCATTAGAATTTGACATTCTAACCATGAAACTTCAACCAATCAGAATTCAATAATGCCCAGATCATCCACAGGTCACACACACAGCATATAAAACCAGATTTTAGAACTCAGGCACTAAATGGTTAAAAAAAAAAAAAGTTGCCAAGTTGTTAAGATTGCTGTCTTGGACTGGGACCTCCTAGGTTCACATTCTGTCTTCACCACTTGAGCTGGCCCTTCACCTACATGACCCTCACGTTCTTCATGTACAAAGTGAGATAGTAAATGCCCCTTAGGGCATGGTGAGGATTAAGTGAGATCATTTATACAAAGTACTCAGCATAGTGCCCAGCACTGCTGGACACTCATTAACATTAGCCACTGTTAGAATGATTTGTAGGCAGCATAGATGGATTGAAAATAGAAGTTGTCAGGCCTGGTGCGATGGCTCACGCCTGTAATCCCAGAACTTTGGGAGGCCGAGACAGGTGGATCACCTGAGGTCAGGAGTTCAAGACCAGCCTGACCAACATGGAGAATCCTGGTCTCTTAAACAAATAAAAAAAGAAAAGAAAAAAGAAAATGGAAGTTGTCTTTGGTAGAGATACAAGCTAAGTAATTAGGTTATTATTGTTATCCAATGAAAGAAATTATAAAACCAGTGTCTGATCCATTCCAGCATAGATATACAAAAGGCCACTTGAGGAGGCCACAAGATGTAACCTGTGTGAATTCATTTCTTGCCCAAGGTAAAGAGAGGGCTTGTCCCTTCAAAAGGAAGGCAGGAAGCCATGGAAGCAAAGAGAACTGGAGGCCAAGAGGCAGAGAGCTGCAGTGGGAATCCTTGACTGTTTTCAGTCTGTGGCTCACAGACTCAGGATGCAGTGCCATTAGAAAGGCTCTATAGGGTGGGGAAGTCCCTCAAGCTATCTTAGCTGAGACTTTCACTAAAATCTTCCACATTGTGGCCAGGCTCAGTGGCTCACACCTATAATCCCAGCATTTTGGAAGGTGGGTAGATCACCTGGGGTCGGGAGTTTGAGACCAGCCTAACCAACATGGAGAAATCCGTCTCTACTAAAAATACAAAACTAGCCAGGTGTCGTGGCACATGCCTGTAATCCCAGCTCCTTTGGAGACTGAGGCAGGCAAATTGCTTGAACTTGGGAGCGGAGGTTGCAGTGAGCCAAAATTACACCATTGCACTCCAGTCTGGCAATAAGAAAGAAACTCCATTTCAAAAAAAATAAAAATAAAATCAGCACATTGCTTGGCTCTGGCTCTCCTCCCAAACCCTCTTTGTGATTAAGACCTAATATTAAACTGATATTAAACCTGATACTAAACTGATGTTCTGGGTCTGCCACAGTCTCAGGTACCCTTTAGTTGTAAGAGTCAGTCTCTCGGATAAAACAGCCAGTCAACATCAAATGGCAGTAACCCTAAATTTAAATTGACTAAATCCCCCAATTAAAAGACACAGCCAAAACCCAATGGCATGTTACATCCAGAGCTGTTTCACAGGCAAGGATACACAAAGACTCAAAACAAAGGGATGGAGAAAGATTTACCAACCAAATGGAGAGCAAAAATAAATAAAAAGCAGGAGTTGCAATTCTCGTATCAGATAAAATTGATTTTAAAGCAACAAAGATATAGTGGTAAAAGGATCAATGCAACAAGAGCTAACGATCCTAACACCCAGGTACATAGAGACTTAGACACAATGAGACAGAAAATTAATAAGAATATCAAGGACTCGAACTCAGATCCGGAACAAGTAAACTTAATAAATATTTATAGAGCTCTCCACTTCAAATACACAAAATATACATTCTTGTCAATACCACATCACACCTACCCATAAGCTTAAATGAAACATTGATTGGCCATCATTAATACCCAATTTTTTTCAAAATAAAGCAATATTTCCATTTACTCTCCCTCTTTCTCTTCCTCTTTCTTCCTCTCCTTTACTTATTTTTTTTTTCTTTCCTTCTCTCAAAAAAAAGAAATCAACTTGTAAACCTCTAGATCCAGGTCGGCAATGTCTCTCTCATTGCTTGAATTCCTTCCTTCCCTTCCCTCCCTCCCTCCCTCCCTCCCCGCTTCCTCCCTTCCTTCCTTCCTTCCTTCCTTCATCCCTCCCTTCCTCCCTACCGTCCTTCTTCCCTCCCTTCCTGCCTTCCTCCCCCCCCCAAAAAAAAGAGTCAGTCTCTCAAGGTCTAATCACCTGCAGATAAATGTCAATGGTTGGTCCCAAGACCATCGAGACAAAGGTCTTCTCAGTTACGTTTTTTCTCAGCAAACTCTGCCATGCCGTATCCTCACATTTCTATAGTATATATGAGAACTAGGAAGGTGTGGCTGAACCCTGACTTCAGGTCTTCTAACCTTAAGTCTGGTGTTTTTTCCATTGTAAAACAAGGTAAGATAAGGCCAGTCACGGTGGAGAAGCTGGAATCACCCCACAAAGTGCTGGCCTGTAATCCCATCACTTTGGGAGGCCAAGGCAGGTGAATCACATAAGGTCAGGAGTTCCAGACCAGCCTGACCATTGTGGAGAAATTTGTCTCTACTAAAAATACAAAAATTAGCTGGGCACGGTGGCTCATGCCTGTAGTCCCAGCTAATCGGGAGGCTGAAGCAGGGGAATCGCTTGAACC